CTGCCCAGTAAAGTTATTAGGAGGTTACACACAGGGGACCAAACAGCTATTTTACTGGCCTCAGGGGATAGGGTTTAGATTTCACCTGTTCTCTTTAGGCCTTGGTGCTAACAGCAGATCCTGTTAACCATCAGTTTTCTGCAGGCTCCTATTTTGTGAGGGAAAAGTATCCTTTAGTTATTATAGCTGGCACACAAAACACATGATGTGAAGTAGACAGCACAATGCACAGTAGGCATACTAAGTAATTAGAAATCAGATCAGAAAACAAACAAAAAATCATAGTTCTTTTCCCTTTAATGAAATTAAGTAAAATAACAGACTTCAGAAATCTTTAGCAGTAGCTATAAATGTGGGAAGTAAACTCAGAGAAAAAGGGAAGTCCAGGTTCTGGATACAACTAAGCTGCAAACCTTACTAAGCTTGTGAACTGAACATCAGTTCTAGGATGTTTAGACATCTAAGAGCTGCCTTCTGCCCAAATTGGACTCTTTGACATGATTTCAGAATGGGTCTTTGTTCTGGGTAGCTTTAAGAGTGTGCTTATGTGGATAGCACAAGAGAGTCCCTTTCTTGGCTAGCTGGACTGCGGCAGTAGTGAAGATACGGCACTCCAAGCCCCAGTCAAAGGATTAGGGGCTTGGCAGGATAATGGAGGTACCTACTGACAAATAATTTTATGAAAAAATACTCTAGATATTCCTCTGGTAAATCATGAGGAGCAACATGAAACAAAATGCAACTAAAAGTTACAAAGGAGTCTTAATCTACAGAGAGCTTGGGTATTACTCTTTTCAGTTAAATCTGGATATATCTTGGGTTATGAAAATATAAAATATACAGTGTTGATTGTGATACCCAAATACACCTATCTGCATTACAAGCAAACAAAGATGAACACAGTTACTTCATGGATCACTAACAGTGGCTTTCCTACTGTTGTACCTATCATATACAAGCTCCAAAACACAACTGCCAGACACCCTTTCTGCCAGGACTGCAAGTTACCAGGCAGTGACACAAAGAACCAAGTGTCAAAAGCTGTGGTAGTTCAGGGAGTAGGTAACAACAAGTGGTAACATGCTGAGGCACGAAAGTCAACTCCAAACCTGTCCTCGTACTGAGAAGCTGTAGCTGCCCTAGCTTAGTTCTACCTCGGAAGCATGCCAACTATTCTATGCCTATATGCCTGAGATGAAGCTAGACTAAAACCTGTGTTTTTTCTACCTGAAAAATGTTAGGCAAGCAAATTACCGAATGTACGTGGGTCTCTATGCAGATATGAACTTCAGCTATGAAAACAAACTCCGTAGAAGCTTCTGTGATTCATTACAATTCAAATAGCAAGAGAAAGATGGTTCCATTACATCATGGGTTCATTACAATATTAGCTTCCCGGATGCATCCACAGGAAACCACCCCTTAATTCTGATAAGGCAGTCGAGTCAAATTCAATCAAGAATGTCAGTGCCCAGGATATAAAAGTGATCTGGAGAAAAATAAGGTGATTTATTTGTGTGATAATTCTGAGTCACTAGTGGCCTGGTAGAGGCCATCAATCTCATTGCATGAAGTATTGCAAGATTTAGATCTAAGATGCCAGAAATGAAACACCACACAGTAGGTAAAGGTAGGATTTGGCCTCTACCATCTGACATGGCTAGACTAGAGGCTATATAAGGGGATGGTTAACCTAACAAATCGCCGTATGAGCCTGAGAGAGGATAGTTCTACAGACAGAAGCATGAAGTTTTACTTCAAAAGCCTGATTAATCTACTGAGGGAAAAACTGCATTCTGGGGTAGACAAACTTTATTCCCTTAGTGCAGCTTGGAAGAGTATTACACTCCTGGCTTATAATGGCAGGTTTTGTAATGCTTAACTTCTGATAAAGACGGGATACAGAGAAGCAGTAATGTAAAAGTGAGATGTAATGAAACAGAATACTTGGATAAAATTGGTTGTATCAAGAACACTGAAGCTCTCTCAGGTTTTACTTAGCTGGTTACATTATGAAAAACCTGTATTTCTTCAGCACTACTTTGAACTTGTAAAAATACTCAGCTATTTGACTCTGAAATGACCCAAGCACCTATCAACAGGCCTCTAGTTCTATTTCAGATGACAGAGCACTTTGTCACAGGCTAATGCCAAGCGTGTGTGTGGGGGAAATATACCCAAAATCTCTAACAACAAAACCAGGACTAAGCAGTGGAGACAGACCTCCACCGAGTTTGAAACCCATACAATTAAAATGGATTTTCAGATGAAGTCTGAAAAGATTAGTCTGATATTTGAAATGCATAATGTACCAGACCTTCTGGCATTACACTCCCCTAATTAAGTCAAAAGGTCATTAGGCATAAGTGCTAGTTTACAGTCAGTCAACACGCTCGCATGCCATACATCGTAAGCTTGGCATAAAACAACTTAATCTGTATTTCTAAACAGTAGTGCAGACAACGTCTACACACGTCAAAATGGCTTTGTGGATGTTTTTTGACATTTCTTTGCAGAAATCCTACCCATGTAACTTAATCTGGATGTGTTATACACACTGATAGAGTGATAAGCAAACTCTAGATCAATATGAAACAGAAAAAAATCTCTCCTTGTCATTTGTAGTTGCTAACAAATCTGCTACCTCAGATGGGAGTTGTAATTTTTTGCATTGAGGTCTTTATATAATTCCTTCCCCCCTGTCCCCTCCCCAAGCCATTCCAAACCTCTGAATTTTGATGCCTACTTCTTCTATTCAATAATATAAAAATTCTATCCAGGCAATAAGGAAAAAACCCCATGCTTCTTGTGCAGGATGCTGAAATGCCAAAGATGCACAATTTACATTAATTCCTGCTCTAGGAGAATTTGTCATAACAGGAATGAGTTCTAAAAGAACTTCAACAAAAATTAAAGGAAACCTCATACATATTTGCTAGCAAACACAGTCTGCGTTTTCATCATGCCAATTACAGCATATTGCTCCTTCTATTTTTTAATCCTTCCTTAATGGACAAGCTTATCTTCCCATTATTCAGAGAACTTTTTTATTCATGCTTCAGCAACTGCATGACAACTGATTAACAAATCGGGGAACTGCTCTTTGACAGTTCTCTTAGAATTGCACAGAGTTCTCAACACAGAGGACACTGGGACCCTTAATTTCTGCCTTGACTAAATTAAATGCCATATATGGTGAACAGCAGCTTATCAACTAACACAGTTGATGAATACACCTTTTTTTTCATCATAAGCCTCAAAATCAGCATCTACCAAGATACATGACGCCAACATTTTATCAAGCTGGCATGGCTTCGGAGCGTATTTCCTTCATTCTTAAGGTCTGTGGTTACTATTTAATCTTCCCTACAAAAAGTATCAAACACTGGAACTGCCTAGCAGGTCAGTACATGGCACTGCTCTATACCAAATACATAGGGTGATTTCAGCTGATGTTCAGGTGGAGTGTTGCAAACCACCATGTACAGTCATTAGCCTCTGTACAAGAGAGGCCCAAGACTGAGCTAGTGTAAATACCAAATTACTTACCACCTCTAGAGAGGGTGGTCGCTCCAGGCCAGGGTTGAGCTCATGGGCAAGGCTGTGCAAGGAAGCTGTCTGTACAATGCCTGGCCTGCGGATATACAGAGGACTTCAGTCTCCTGTACTGTCAATCTCAGTCAGCATGAGCTCAAATACTCCCCCAAAACGTAAGGGACAAATACTGCCCTCAGATGCCTACCTGTGGCTCCCATTAAGTCCAATAGAAATCACATATGCATTCAGCTGAAGAGGATATCTGACCTTACAAACACATTAAGCATCAAGCCCACCTAAGGAGAGAAGGACCACCATGCTCTGAAAGTATGTGACATTTAACATTTACTTCAAGTGTCACACAAATCTTCTCATTTGAAATTCTTAAAGCAACTGCATTTTGTATCTCTATACGTTGAGAATTCATCCTCTCAAGTCAGATTCTTCATTACATGAATATTTTAAAACTGGGAATGAAATAATAATGAAATAAATGTAAACCACTTTATGACACTCCTTTAAACCTAGAAGCTGCAGTGAACATACTTCAAATCATAACCCTCTTACAATGCATATATCTTTGTAAATTCTGTGCAGCCTACTTCCTGTTTTGTTAGAGGGCTTTTAGACTAATAGCTTCAGCTTTAGTCCACTCCTGTTTCAGATCCTGGGCAAATTCAATTTCTGCACTACCAGCTTTCCAAACCTCCACAGTACCCAAAGAATCTCAACACATCTCCTGCAGCTACAAATGGTAACACTTTCCTGGATTTGTGCTTTTAACTCACTGCAGAGTAGATGAGAGTTGATCCCCAATAGTGATGTCTTTGAAGAAGATTCCAAGTAAGTGTATACATAAGCAAATGCACGCATCCTCATCCATTTCCAAGGTTGCCATTCATGAGGAATATTTGTTTATGGTTGAGAGCCAAACAATAACCTCTTCATTTTCATCAAGAGCTCCTTATGCACAAGCACAGAATGATTTACCTTATAGATTAATGCACAGGAAGGATAGAAGACTCAAATAATTCATTTTTACTTGACTCATACTGCATCTTTAACAGCCATAAAAATACACCCATTCTCCTCACCTGCATTTTCTGGACACGTTACTTAGCAGCTAGCTGTAGTGTATACATACAGGAATACAGAATTCTGCCTTTCTTCACAACTTTCTTTTTCTGCACTCTTAACTCATGTGAATGTGCACACACACATGTGCATTCACACATGTGCACGCATACACACACACACACACACACACACACATTGTGTATGCATTTTGACAACATTGCAGGTGAGGACTGGAACTGCTCTAAAGTGGAAAACCCACCAGAACATTGAAATGGAGCCTTCTCAGGCCAGACCAACACCCAACACACCAACACCTCATAAGTCACTGCGCTGCCTAACATGAATTCCGTTTGTAAGAGAAGGCCAAAGCAAAAGATGCTACTTACATGTATGAGTCTTCTTCGTTACAGAAATACCTGTAGGGAAGAAATGATACTGACATTAGCAAAATGACCACTGAGCAAATTGTTTTGACATGTATTTCATCATTATTTGATTTCAGACACACAGCGACCACTACAAAAGCAGAATGAAAATCGCCATAATTTGTACATTAGAGGTGGGAGGATCTCCCTATTTTGCATTCAGACTTTAATGGTATATTCTCTCTTTACATCTCATCAATAAACGTTTCAACATGTATTGCTTAAATTTTGTTGTTGGAACACGTATCTACATTGTGCTGCTGGTTTAAAACTGAAGCTGACACAAACAGAAGATACCAACAACATTATGGAAGCCCCCTTTTGTTTTTTTGCATGGTGAACATTTTTTCCACACTCGTATTTACTTGTGCACATTAAACTACCCAGACAGACCAAATCTGAGCAGTACCAGTACAATTCATCTGCTATGTTACTGAGTTCAAGTAATTCCTTGACTGCAAGCTGTAGCTTACGCTCATTAAAACCAAATGAGCAGCTCTCTCAATGTATTACCTGCCATAATTCCAACCCAGGTGCAAATATCCCCAAGCTGTTAAATACATACTTTCTGAAGTATTAAAGATGTTTTGATGCTAGACAGGCATGTGGTGGCAATCACCAGTGATGGTCCAGTGCCAGCGAAATTTGAGAGGAATTTTAAAGAAAGCAACAGAGTGAACAGAATGAGGCAAAATTCATAATACCAAAGATAAAATTAACTCTGTTAAATGTCATTGCAATTCATGCTTGAATTCAAACAATATTGTCTCCACTTTAGTAGATAACTGGCGCTGTATTTGGACTCCTCAGTATTTAAGCTTCGCTCTCCTTGGGGGGAATTTTTTGAGAAGAGAAAGAAGTTACTGGAAGCAGTACAAGTATTTGAAATATTTCATTTGTGATCAAGGCCTGTAATGAAATATTGCAATTGAAACTGTTTGGCTTCCTATTCATGAAGACAGAGAGACTTGAATCTCCTTAGCTACCCTATTTCTTTAACCCCCTCTTCCAAAATCAAATTACTATGGAAATAGGTAGGCTTTTATTTCAGGGTTATTTCTTGCGGAACATCTCAGGGAGGCAGCAAGTTAAAATAATGCAGAAAAATATAGATACCTTATTTGCAAATTGACAGCTAACTTCCAAAGCCAACAGTTTTCAAACTCATCATGGTTTTGGTAGATAAATCCACATAAATCCACAATGCCAACCCCAAATATATAGCTATCAAGTTTGGCATAAATGTCATTAGGAGTTTTTTAATTTAATTGCACTTGTGTTGCTATTGGCTTTCTGGTTGAACCATTAGGCTCTAGAGGTGTGAGCTCTGAAACCCTTCTTTTCCCTGGAAAGCCGAGAGGCTGCAGGATTCAGAAGTTCTGAGCAATTCCTTTGAGAAACTCTGTAAATGTGACACACTAGTCAGCAATTTACAACAATCACAAGTCTAGAACTTGGTTAAGTATGTGTACCGACTGAAATTGAAAGGTCCTAGCCGAATCTGTGTGTTCCTCATGCTAGGAATGTGGGTTGCAGCCTCAAACTGTAAAGCCAGGGTAAGCAATAAAAAAGAGGAAAACATGCATATCAAAAATAAAACCTTTTAGTTATGGAAGTAGGTACTACAGGGGGCAAAGTCACCCTTTACATTTGTATTTTTTAAGTGCCAGTATTCTCACATCTTCATTCCAGTCCCATCATTACTGGCTGGCTCAGGCCAGCTGCAGATGCCAGGGAGGTGAGTCTTATTATAGGGACCATAGCTTAGGGAAGGAAGAGGGACAGAGTGAGAAGCAGCAGAGACTGAAGTATCTATGGCAAAATGCACTAGCAGTATTTCATGCAGGCTTTGCATGAGTGCAAAAAAGCCCCTCTCTGGGTTCCTCTGAAGGTCTGCCTTACCCTCTCAATTCAAGTTACAGCTGTCATCAGAGCCTTTGCTCTTCCACCAAGGAAGAACATTTTTGCTGCTGTTTGACTTCCTGAGTGACCACTGAACGGCATGTACAGTTCCCAACAGTCTCCATCATTCCGAACTGTCCTAATGTCCCCTTGGCAGAAGTACTTGACCCAGCTCCTACAATTTTAGAGGCTGTTTTATGGAATGAGAAATGCAAAGAAAGGTCTTAAATCTGAACACTGTTTGCAAAACTTCCTCTCCCAACACTAGTGCTAATAAATGGATACATCAGTGCTCTTTCAGCATTATGGGATCCATATGTGTACTTTTCTCAGAAAATAATGCTTTCTGTAAAATCACTTTGAACAGAAAGTGCTTATGCTGTCACTTCCGATTACTCACAGCCTCTTCACAATGGGATTTGCCACAGCACAAAACAGACTTAGTTGTATTTGCTGACTGAGGGCTACTCTCCTCTGATACACAAAACAGTGATGGGAATATTAGTGTTTATATTTTTCTACCTAATTTTCTCTGTATGACATGAGTGATGGGTTTTTCTAATCAGATGTTTCCATAATAATTACCAATTACCATCTGGTAAAGCCTTTTAGCTGGTTTACGCAGATATTTTTAGATAACCTTTTAAAACAACAGCTATCGGGGGGGAGCATCTTCATAATCACACTGGTAGCTGCAGTGAATCTTAAGTATTTTGCTTTGAACAGTGGTTTTACAGTTACTAACTGACGTCTGGTGGCACAAGGATAAGCACTGCTAGTGAGTTCAACCTGTTTAGATTTAACTTAATCAGGAATCCTTACTTAGGTTAAAATGAGTAGGGAATTTTTCAGAAGCCTTTCCTTTCACATCAGTAAGTGACTAGAAAAGCTGAGCAAAAAATGCACCAGCAGATCCAAACAGTTACTTAGGTTAGATACACCAGAACCAATGCTTTAAATATAAATGTTAAATATGCAACTAATTCCTATATCATTGCCATCAGTTCTAGTTTTAATGCAGGAAGGCAGTGACTTTGCTATTCAGCATTTAAGAACTGTAACTAATCTCCTAAAAATGAGTGTATTATGGGGAAAAAACCCCAGAGGTGGTCTGAAAACTACTTAGTGTATAAAAGGGGAGTTACAGATGTTTGGCTCTCTTTGGGCCAGTGCTAGCTCCCATTTGCATATATGTTTGAAGGCCTTTCCTCTGAGCTGCATCCTACAAGTCTTACCCAGATTTCGTTAGAAATCAAAAGGATCCTGAAAAACTAATTTTGCCAAGCCAACATACTTTGGTACTTTTCTTCACCGGACCAGGCATTATTAACTGGGATTGCTCTCACTTCATTTCTGGGGCTGAACCTTCAGCGTATATAGATGTGATTATGTCTATTGCACAATAAAACCTAGGTGTAACACATTACTGCCAAAGATTTATTTCTTTTCAAGAAGAGGAGCACAAAGAACCCAGTGACTCCTTTCAAAATGTGACTTAATGTGAATTCTTATTTTTTATGGGCTTAATTTCAAAATGCAACAGACTGATCTGTGAACCACTTGCCACTCAGCGCTATCCTAACCAGCCAGCTTTCCATTCTCCTTTAGCAACTAAGAGAAAAGAAACAGAGGATGAAACAACCCTAACTTCAGTGTTGCTAATACAGAAAGACTTCCTGACTTAACCAACCAGACTTCAAAGTAAAGCAAAGGAAATGTCATTAAAATACCACAATATATCACTGCCATGGTTATCAGTGAGTGAAAGTTTCAGTATTACAGTTATCAGAGAATTGATCACTTCAGCAGCGCAATTTGACATTCCTGATCAACACCAAATCTTGAACAAATTAACTTCTTTGACTTTTCATAGCTGCTATGAAACGCTCTTTGCAACAACAATCGTTTGGGGCTTTTTAAACAGCATTCATACACCATTCCCTTTCCCCCTCCCACTAGCAATATGTAATTTGCCATGATGGGTGGTATTTACAAAAATAGCATTCTGGACGCAATGAACTTTGAAAAGAGTATCTACCATCAGAGACAGGATCTTCTTTTGCAGGCAGTTAGCCTGAGTGACCTTCACTAGCCAGCTTCAAATAGAGAGAACAATGTCTTCAAGTACAAAAAAGAGACTCGGATATTTTGTACATCGTAAGCCATTTCTCACAGTTGCCCATCCAAATAAAGAAGCATAATGAAACACTGCTTACTCTGTGAACCCAGATCCCTGCCGCTGTTGTACAGTTGTCAACTTCCCTTTTTCAAGGGGAAAACATACTCTGATATACAGAAAGATAAGTAAAAAGTCCCTGTCTGGCAGAATACATTACTCTGCAAAACATCAAAGGAAGATATTCTGGAGTGCAATTTTCTTAAACCTCCAAAAAACCTCTTCCTTGGAAGTCTGTATGAATAAAAACGCATGCATCACTTGCAAAGCTCATAACTGATCGCCAGCACTTCTATTAAGCACCACTGTGTTTCCTTTGTTTTCCTTTTTGTGCCCAAATCGGGTCTGATGACAGTATTTCTAGGCAAATGGTACACACATATCATACTTTGGTCACGTAGGTGTGCCTATCAACATATATTTTTATCTTTTTACTTTCTCCTACCCTCCCCATAGCCAGCATGCTCTCGCATGTTTGGAATCTCGATGGATTGGAAATCTTGGGGGAAAAAGAAGTTCAAACTTTAAACTGTAAGCCTCCTGCCTCACTTATTGCGTTAAATCAGAAAGAAAATGGATTACAAGCCTGGATCCCACTGTGCTTCATCCTGTCACTCCACTGCTTTTTTACTCTACCACTACACAAAGCCAGCAATTAAGGTGGAAGATTACATGTAACACCCAGGCACTACCTAAGCAGAATAATAGATTTGAGTGTATTCAGGAAGGAGTGTGCTCTTTCAGAAACCTCAGCAATGGTTTTTACAGAAGTCTGTGAGGATCGGAGGAATTCTGTGAGCTTTGTAGGCCATTGTTTATGGTGACTAAGGTAAAAACAACACACACGCGACTGGTGTAAATACAACTGCAGTGAGTTTAACCAAATGAAACCATGTTACAAACCAGAGCCCCT